CCCCAAAACCCCAAAACCCCAAAACCCCATAAGGTTAGGTTAGAATAATTCTCAAGATTTATAGGAATGTTATTTCAAAAAAATTTTCAAATATATATAATTAATACATTATCGAGAGATACCTCATTTTAATAATAAATTGCTAATTTAGAGGTACTATTATAATCCCTGGTCACGAGAATTAGGATTTTGATCTATTTATTAAAACAGAGTTTATGTGTAATTTTGAGAAAAGTGCGAATTGAAAAATCCAGGAGCCAAGGCCTGATAATTCTCAGATTATACATTCTGTGATAATGCTAGCTGAAGCTATTTGTGTTCAGCTAAACTCGGCAGTTTGATTATTATACTTTGATTTTCGGCGGTCGGTGTTTATTAGGGTGTACTCAATACCTCTTCCTTATCTTCAATTATTTAGTCTGTTTAATGGCTCTTTTCTCCCTAGTCTGGTTTAGGAGAGGTTCGCTACCTCTTTTTAATATTTATTAAACAGATCAAAGCAGAATACTCATCCTCTGTGTCTAGTTGCACTTTCCTTTTCAGCTTTAATCTTAATTAAGAATTCTATTGGGGTTGAATCCTAAGTTCCTCCTCTTCGGAATTTGAGGTGCTATTAGTTGATTCGTACCTTTGGGAAGATGGTGATGAAAGGACTTCTTAGGTTTTTTATGTTGAGCAAACCTGATAATTAATAAATCTCTTTTGTTTGAGTATACACTTCTTTCTATTTTCAACTTTTGCATTTTAGCTCGGAAATTGCTCGTGCATTTGTAATTGTGATAACATTCTATGCTTGTTTCTAAAATTAATAAAACTATAAGGTTTATATCTGAAATATACTACTAAGATCAATATTATTACTATCTTTTAGACAAACTTACTTTAATTGTTCAGGATTTCTTAATTTCTAATCGCTCTACCGCTCCAAAACTTGCCTTAATGTATATATTCTATTTTTAAAGTTGCATTTAAAAATTAAGTTTCAACGTATTGTTCCCCCAAATTTAACAGTATAAATAACTAATGGCAATAATTTATATTAGTAATTATGTCTGCTTAGGCTTTTCAAAAATTATATCGTCATTTCGTGATAGCTACTTCCCAGAGTAGAGCACCTATTGTGATGAAACATCTTGAGAGTTAAACCCCTTATATTCAGGTAGCTGATGAGATTTATGCACATTCAGTTGAGTAATCTGAAGTTATCAATCCTATATTTAAAAAGTACTGCGACGAAGGCGAAAAATATTTCTCTGATAAAGAGTCATAAAATGATTTGAAGACCGATTAACAAGATGCAGTATAAAAAAAATATGAAAGAGCGATTAGAGACTACTTATTTTTGCGTTAATCATGCTTTCTAGAACTATAAATTATGGACTTGAATAGGGTTGGAGTAGACAAAGATTTGAAGAACATCATTAAGTAAACCGCAAGACATGTTGGCCTTGAAATGCCAAAGAGCTGGCAATAGACTATTAAGGATCCATTTGATAATAGAGACAAAAATAATGAAAAGATATGAAAGAAAATAAAAAATCGTAAATTTCTAGATCTCAATAGGTGAGTGACTAACTAATTAATAAAATAGCCTTCTACTAAATTAATAACTTTGATTTTAGCCATTTAATAATTTTAAATAGAACGTAATAATAATAAAGTAATCATAGTTAAAAATTAATAGTTTATCAGATGATATTTTAGTATCCTCTTTTATACATTGGAATGATTTCTATCTGTCTAGTCTAAGGGTTGAACTAAGTAATTTGATACTAATCATTCTATTACTATACACTCTCTTTAGATTATTTCTCTTCGTCTGGAAGTCCTTCCATTTCAGATCTCATAATCATACCGATGCCCATGAAAAATCCGAAAGAACCTCCTGAACCGATAGCACTCATTGGAATATACATCAGTTGTCTGTACACTACGGCATAGTATGTTCCCATACATCCTCCAAAGATACCTCCAACAATGAATCCCATCTTGAATCCTTGCAAAAACATTGTCTTCACATCACCTACTGCACCAAAGATTCGTTCCATCTTTCTCTGGATTAGTCCTTTTGGCTTGTTTAAAGCTGCTAATTACTTTTATTTTTCTACATCACTTGTTAAGACATCTTTCTAGAGAGTTTAAAACTAATCTAGAGAATTTGTAGGTCCATTCTTTGATTAAACTGGGATTGCAGGCTCATTTTTAAAGTTAGCTGATCTCGCTGCATACTTGTCTTCCAAGACTTAATCGTATTTTCCTCCACTCATTTTACTTATGAATAATAATAATTTATTAATAATATAATTATGAAACCATCATTCAATTCTATTGTCCATTAATTAATGGCCATGGGGTTTTGGGGTTTTGGGGTTTTGGGGTTTTGGGGTTTTGGGG